ATATATATCCAGAAGGCTGAAATATGCAATGTTACCATGGTAATCACACTTACCTTCAGGACAGTAGTATCCAGGGAAGCATTCCCCCCATGGTTTCCATGACCCTCTCTTGCAGTAGTAACCCTGAGGGCAGGTGTAGCACTGATCAGCGCTGACCAGGTTGGTCAAGTCACTCCATGTCCCTGCGGGACATCGGTACTTCCAAGGGAAGGTTGTTCCTGCTGGACAGTACGCACCTTTGCTGCATGGTCTCGGGCGCAACTTAAATCCGCCTGTGCCTTCCAAACAGGCAAAGGATGCTGGGCAGATGTCACATTCATCTGCAGAGGTCAGATTGTCTCGGTCGGTATAAGTGCCTGCTGGACAGACAGTTTCGTTTGCCATGGCTGTGCCTTCTGGACAGAAGAAACCAGCTTGACATGGGCCATCGGGCTCAGTTAGACCGTATGCCGTACACACCTGGCCAGCAGTGCAAGGCAGACAGGCTGATGATTCCCTGGACTGGTTCACGTTAGGGTTCATGGTACCTGGTTCACAAGGCGTAGGGTCCACACTGCCTGCTGGACAATAGTGACCAATTGGGCAACCTCTGCAGAACGTTACAGCTATGCTCCCTTCATCCGGGTTATAGGTACCACCAGGGCATGGAACGGATTGATTGGTCCCAGCTGGACAGTAATGACCACGGTCACACATTGAGTATGCCTCTACAATTTCGTATGTTCCAGGAGGACAAAGTTGTCCAGCAGGACATGTTTTACAGTCGGACAATTGGCTCATTCCTGTATATGAATTGTATGTCCCTCCAGGGCAAGGAAACTGGACGTCTGAAACTGTCCCATTGGGACAATAATGTCCCTTTGCACATATCAACATTTCAACTAAGGGAGACCCAGTCGCCCCAGTACAAGCAAAGCCTGCTGGGCAGATCAGACAGCCGCTTACACTGACCAGTCCAGTGGCATTGCCCAGTGTCCCCGGGGGACAGGGGTACTGGGTGGGGCTCACTGTACCTTCTAGACAATAGTAACCCAACTCACAGTCTCTGCCAGGCTCTGTCAAAGCAAGGCCATCACAGACTTTCCCAGGTGGACACAGAGTACAAGCCAACTCGTGTGTTTGCATTCCTGTCACGTTTCCCCAGTGCCCAGGGTGACAAGGTGCCCGTCTTTCAGTCCCTTGCCCTGTGCTAAAGAAACCCTTTTCTGTTGGCAGGCAGTGGTCTATGTGGGACGCTCCACCCCGGGTGTCTCTACCTGGTGGACACTTGGTTGGAGTATGGCTACCAGGTGGACAATAGTAACTGTCAGGGCATACAAAATATGGTCGAAATATGCCCTTCTTCTCACACAACATCCCACCAGGACACAAATCACAGTCTTCAGGGTCAGTGTTACCTTTATTGGGGCTCCACATACCCTTAGGGCATCCCTGGTACTCAGCGCCCTCTGGACAATAATGACCTTCGTAACATAACTGAGCATTAGAGCCAGGGGTGCCAGGGTGCCCCCTAGTGCCCACCTTACAAATCCACCCGGCGACACAGGGAAGACAGTAGGTGATATTGCTGGCACCGGTCATGTTACCATAGGTACTTTTGGGACACAGTATGCTTATCTTACCATCTGGACAATACGAGCCTGAAATACATACACATACATATATTGCATACACAAACATATACTTATTACAGCTACTCATTCTGCCAAATTTGAGTAGAATGTTTAATTAATTAGGATTCTCAGTTTGCTATAATGTAAAATGTTATATTGCTTCTTGCCAGTTTAAATTATAATCATTTTGTAGGTCAATATATTAGCCTAAAATAATCTTTTTCACTAGAGCACCTTCTTGGCAAATATCACTTTGGAACACATAAGATGTGTTAACATCAGTTTTAACTTTAACTTTTAAATTAAATATTTTTACTTGAGTTTAGGTTAAATAAGGCCATTTTAAATAAAACCTGATGTGAACATTACCTATTGGGCAAATATCCTGTGGGGGTTCACTGCTGGTCCTGTTGATGCCACACATGTACCCTGGAGAGCAAGGGGAACACTCCATGACGGAGGTGCTACTGTATGTACCCATTTGACAAATTAGGGGTGGTATGTCCTTTTGTGCACAATATGAGCCTGCGGGACACGGGGTGCACTCCACCTGACTGCCAAGACTGTATGTGCCATTCTCACACTCCTCGCTGGTCTGGTTGGTGAATGGACACTTGCGCCCTGCTTCACACGGTGTGCACATGCTGGCTCCTAGCAGGGAGTACGTGCCCACTGGACACTGGGTCCTATATCATGTTAAATAATAGTGCTTAATATCTTAATTGGGGCATTTCTTAAGTGATTGAATCACTTGGGAATTAAAACATATGTACAAAATTTGAATGTTAAAAGTTTATTTGAAGAATAAAAAAATTAGTAACAAAAAATATACTAAAATGAATGAAATATACAAATTGATACAACATAGATACCGTACTATACAAAATTTCAGAGATATATGTGAAGCCTGCACTTTCAGTCAATTTGGCTTTTATTACAAGTAAAAAAGTTCAACTCAAGGCACCAAGTTTTTGCAGTTTTCCTTTCGTTGTCACTTACCTGTTTAATGAAGAATCACAAGCGTAGCCAGCAGGGCAAGCGTCACACGCAGCTTGAGAGCCTATGCTGAAGTACCCCGAGTTACACGGTAATCTCTCAGCGCTGTCCACACGGGGGCACTCATAGCCTGGGATACACAGGGTACAACTGGTGGAACCAGCAACAGCATAAGTACCAGGATGACAGGCAAAGGTTTGATTGGAGGTTGTACTTGGACAGGCAAAACCAGCTGAGCATTGAGTACATGCTGTTTGGTTACCTGGAAATAGAAAGATAGGCCAGACAAAATGATATGTAGTTTAAGCAGCAGCCACTCCCTGTAAACAGTGCAATTGATGAAATTCATTTAATTTTTTTTTTTAATTTTAAACATAATATGAGAATTGCGTAGCAGCTTTACTTCAGGTTAGTTGGTGTTTTTTTCCTCATCTCTATTTAGGGTGTGTGGAAACATCAAATCTACAGCATGGGCAATTTAAGACCTTATTTAAAAACAAAAACACTAAGGTCTATGCAGGGTTTATTTTTAAGCTATTGCTTAAAAATAAGCATTTCTTATTAGACCCAAACATTCTGAATCAAGCTATTTAAATGGTAACATATCATGCACGGCCTTCTAATTTTAAGTGCTGTTTAAAAGGCAAGAAAAAATGAAGACTTCTATGATGATCACAAATCTATTTTAGGCACAGAATCTAAGATTTAATACAGCTTGACAGCCAGGGAACATCTGTCGCGACATTTTTTTACCATAGGCAGAAAATATTCAAAATGAAAGTTTTTTGTTTTTGTTTAACATATTTATTCATATGAATGGTTTGACAGTTTTATATATATTTCCATTTTGATTAACCATACATGTACCCCAAAGGTCAATTTTGCTTAAATTTATGTAATAAATTCAATACCTCCTGACAACAGATTTTCAAAATTCTTCACATCTTCACCTACTGGAAGGTCCCTCAAAAGCTCATACCTATAGAAAAGAACCCTGGAACACACTCAGAGTTCTGTGTTCCGTCCAGCGCTGGACACTGCCATCCTGCTGGACATGACATGCACACAGCTTGACCAGAATGGCTGAAGGTTCCATATGGACAGTCCAGTACTGTGTCCTCAGTGATGGACGGACAATACTTCCCTGATGGACAGACTGTGCAATCAGGGCTGTCAGGTAGAGAGTAGGTGCCTGAAAAAATTACACAATGTTAAGAATATGCTACTAATACCTGTACTACGTATAATACTGCTCTAACCATACTAGTACCATTACTACTACAAATAGAAAACATCAGAGATTGTCTTAAATAATTAAGACTTTCAGTACTGCATGACATCATTTGAGGCTAAAGATGTGTGAGAATTTGTCTTGTGGTCATTTTTAAATTCTTAAAAGGTCCAGAAAAAATGCTTGATTTGAAGCAATGAGATATAGCTCATTGCTTGATGTGAAAAAACAAAGAACACAAATCATAACTAAAATATATTTAGTTATCAAGTTATCTATAATGGAGCCAGAACAACCCACCAACTGGACAGATGTAAATACTGGACACATTGGTAGCAGATGGACAGGCACTGCCAGCCGGGCAGGAGGTACAGGCCGTCTGACCACCAATGGAGTAAGTCCCAAGTGGACAAGGCAGGGGACTAGACACAGTGGTGGCACAACTGTAGCCTGCTGGACAGGTCATACATGTAGTGGACCTAGGACCACTGTATTGGCCACTACTACACTGGACTGGGGGCAGCCTGAAGTAACAGATCTTTGAATTTTAGATCAATACAAACTTGAAAAATAAGAAATAAAAAAATCTGGGAACTTTTGATACATTATTAACTTTAAGAAAAATTAATGTTAGTTTCAATTGTAAATACTACTTAGAAAATAGTAATTCAGTAAGACATTTTTTATTTACATGTTAAAAAAGAGAAAAATTTAAACAAAAACAAAAAGGATTAAGCACAGCATCATCCATTAAATGTCAAACAGCTATACAATACATGTAAGAATAAGGCTTTTTTTCCATCTAAAAGTTACTTTGATTCCAGTTACAACAAACACTTCCATCAAATGATTTTTTAATTGTGTGTCTTGCCTTCAACAAATTAATTTCATCAAGAAACAAAGAAACATTAAATTTTGTAAATCAATTACTTACTAAACACATTTAAAATGCAGCCACCTTTTTTCATTTTTTTTTCATTGTATCTTATACACTTTTAAACAAAAGAAAGCACATGAAGTAAAAATACTTAGCAGCAATATTTAAGATGTACTAGAGAGGTTAAGCACCCTTCTATGTACGTACCACCAGCTACAATACTACACAAAAACTTTAAACACCCCCTCCCATCCACCTTTTTTACCTTGTATTATAGCAAGACTGACCAGCCAAGCAATCTGCACAGGACGTCTGGCCATCTTGACCATTTGTGTGCTGACCAGCGTCACACTCAATGGGGGCCACATCAGGAGATGGACACTGGGAACCCGCTGGACACAGGGTGCAGTTGAAGTCCCCCGCCCGGCTGTAGTAGCCCAGGTCACAGGCTGTCTCGGTGCCGTCCAGGGAACAAGAGTAGCCAGCTGGACACTGTCTGCACTGACCATCACCCTGAATATATATGTATACACAAATGGTGTATTAGACCCCATTCCCATACCTAGATCGATCAAGCAGAATCGACCCATTTCCGAGGGGTTTCTCGCTAAATTGCACTCAGCTTAAGTGGCTCTGATGTCTGGCACACCTACTAAAGCTGTAATGGGTAATTATTTATAACTGTCATTTAGCAGCATCAGTAGGCGTGCCAGACATCTAATTAAGTTGCTTAAGCTGAATGTAATTTAGTGAGAATCCCCTCTAGATTGATCTATGTATTGAGTGGGGTCTTAGTTACATCAACCAATGAGGTTGTTTTTGCCTTTGTTGGTTTGTTAATTATAGCCTAAATAAACAAGTTTATATGGAAGGTATTTTGATGACATGTTTCAAAATAGGTCAAAAATGGGCTGAGAGGATGGTTCCTGAGAGAGAGAGAGAGAGAGAGAGAGAGAGAGAGAGAGAGAGAGAGAGAGAGAGAGAGAGGCAAATCATTACCTCTAAACTGTAGTACCCTTCCTCACAAAGCTGGGGGGGATCCCTGGGGTCTATACAAGAGAACCCCCCAGGGCAGATAGTGCAAGCTGTGGCATTGGCCTCAGAGAAGGTACCAAATGAGCAAGGTACTGGGTGGGCCGCTGGGTTGCTGCACTCAAAACCTGACGGGCATGTGATACACTGCAATACCTGGAACCAAGTACAGTCAGTATTCTTAAGTTATAGTGGAAAAAAATCTTCTCACCACTAGGAAATTATTATTTATTTTCAATTATATCATATTTAATACAGGATTATATTATGAAGGAGAAAACTGTTATACTGCCTCTAAGTTTGCCATAAAAGAAGAGACATTCGATAATCTAACTTCTGGCCATTTTCTTTTTTGTTAAATTGCTGAATGACTAAAGCCGAATCAATTTACTAAATAAATAAAGAAACTAGACAGCAAAATTGGCAATATGCAGGCACAGATAAAACAGTTATTCCTGTATCCATATTAAGGCAATTTAAAATCTCTCCTTGTCAAATTACAATATAGCCATTCTTCGATCAAGTTTAAATTTTTACAAAATCTGAGTCAGACATAACGTCTTCGTGTGAGAAAACAATGTCGTATGACTCTGCCTCAACAGCTTGTGTCCTACTTATAAGAATACATCTAGCATGTGGTTCAAATCCACCTCTTGCCTACTTACAGTCCCCCCCACACTGTAACTGCCTAAACCACATGGTTTGGGTACCACCGGGTCAAGGCAGTAATGCCCAACTGGACATGGTGAACAAGACATCCCTCCTATAGGACTGTAGGAACCTAGAATACATCATAAAAACAAGGTCATGTATAAGTTTTCATATTTTCAGTAAAAACATGAGGTTTTGAGATATCTTTTGAATTTTTTTTCTGACAATAATGTTAGGAATAATTATGAAATGGAAAATTAAATGCCATACTGGACACAGATACACAGGTGGTATGAGCTGTAACATTTTGTCCATGTTCCATAGACTTCTTCAAGAAAGGGAATGTATTGTCACTGTAGTCATCCCTAATAAAAATTATTTCCCATATGGTCCTGCGTGACGTCCTGTAGGAAATTGGCCCAAAATCCTGTTCAGTTTTATTGGACATATACCCTAGAAAGGAATCTTGTAGAATGTCAGTAAAAATTCCTATGGTGTCCCATATAGTCCTAAAGGATTCCTCTAGAATNTTGCGTGTTTTGACACTGTGCTGGGATTTTTAACTTCAGAGAATTGAGCCAAATTTTACGTTTTGCGGCATCCGCAGGCAGGATATAATAGCAGATGTCTTTCTAATCGTAACCTACATTACGGCACCCGGGAGCAACACAACTTTGTTTTTCTGACACCTGGATGTTTAGTCACCTACTGCATAGTACTGTATATACTATTACTAGTACAGCTGTGGGAAGCTACTACCCAGATTACGTCACTAGAAACTGACCAATCAGAATTTTCTTATCTAAATCTCATCTTTTCTCTCTAAAACTTAAAAAAGACAATTTTTTGACGTCGATTTATAGTTTTTATACTGTAGAAAAAGCAGTGAACGCTATGTGTTCCTAGAGCACAGTAGGCCTTTAAAGGGATAATAACTCTTCGTATGAGATCTATATTTCACTATAAAAACATTGTGAATAACTCATAGAAATATAATATATTCTGTTTTACCACAAAAACAGCAGTTATAGTTATTATTCTGATATCTGATCTTGTCTTCAGACCACGTGCCCTCCACTGATGCCTATACTCTGTTAAAATCTCTTAAGAGATTTTAACAAAAAACCAAACTTTTTAGAAAAAAAACAGGGACTAACTTTGAATGTAAAAATGGATTCATTAACCATTGGTTAGAATGGGAAAATTATTGTTTACTCCAGGAAAATTCATTTTTTGGCCGAAACGAAGAGTTATTCTCCCTTTAAGTGGCTCTGATGTCTGGCACGCCTACTGAAGCTGTAATGGGTAATTAATTATAATTATCATTTAGCAGCATCAGTAGGCGTGCCAGACTTCTAACATATGAGAGAAAGAAAGACATGCAAATCATTACCTCTAAACTGTAGTACCCTTCCTCACAAAGCTGGGGGGGATCCCTGGGGTCTATACAAGAGAACCCCCCAGGGCAGATAGTACAAGCTGTGGCATTGGCCTCAGAGTAGGTACCAAATTGGCAAGGTACTGGGTGGGCCGCTGGGTTGCTGCACTCAAAACCTGACGGGCATGTGATACACTGCAATACCTGGAACGAAGTACAGTCAGTATTCTTAAGTTATAGTGGAAAAAAATCTTCTCACCACTAGGAAATTATTATTTATTTTCAATTATATCATATTTAATACAGGATTATATTATGAAGGAGAAAACTGTTATACTGCCTCTAAGTTTGCCATAAAAGAAGAGACATTCGATAATCTAACTTCTGGCCATTTTCTTTTTTGTTAAATTGCTGGATGACTCAAGCCGAATCAATTTACTAAATAAATAAAAAAAGAAACTAGACAGCAAAATTGGAAATATGCAGGCACAGATAAAACAGTTATTCCTGTATCCATATTAAGGCAATTTAAAATCTTTCCTTGTCAAATTACAATATAGCCATTCTTCGATCAAGTTTAAATTTTTACAAAATCTGAGTCAGACATAACGTCTTCGTGTGAGAAAACAATGTCATATGACTCTGCCTCAACAGCTTGTGTCCTACTTATAAGAATACATCTAGCATGTGGTTCAAATCCACCTCTTGCCTACTTACAGTCCCCCCCACACTGTAACTGCCTAAACCACATGGTTTGGGTACCACCGGGTCAAGGCAGTAATGCCCAACTGGACATGGTGAACAAGACATCCCTCCTATAGGACTGTAGGAACCTAGAATACATCATAAAAACAAGGTCATGTATAAGTTTTCATATTTTCAGTAAAAACATGAGGTTTTGAGATATCTTTTGAATTTTTTTTCCGACAATAATGTTAGGAATAATTATGAAATGGAAAATTAAATGCCATACTGGACACAGATACACAGGTGGTATGAGCTGTAACATTTTGTCCATGTTCCATAGACTTCTTCAAGAAAGGGAATGTATTGTCACTGTAGTCATCCCTAATAAAAATTATTTCCCATATGGTCCTGCATGACGTCCTGTAGGAAATTGGCCCAAAATCCTGTTCAGTTTTATTGGACATATACCCTAGAAAGGAATCTTGTAGAATGTCAGTAAAAATTCCTATGGTGTCCCATATAGTCCTAAAGGATTCCTCTAGAGTCCCATAGAGTCTTATAGGATGTCCNAGCATTCTATGCTGAATGTCAATGGGCAGAAAAGTAGGTCACGAAAATAGGTTAAATTTCGACCAAAAATATAAAGACAGGAGCAGTCTAAAGCTCTTTTATGGCTGATTGATTGATCTATTCAGTTTATCCCTTGGCATGTCGAATTTATTTGAGTCTTACAAGAAACTAATAGAAGTGGTTTACATATGCATGAGTTACTGGGAATCCACACTCCACCAATGCTCGGTTCGTATGTACCTTTAATGGTGTGTGTGTATGTGTGTGTGTGCATGCATGCGTGCGTGTATGCGTACTGACACTGTGTGTGTCCATAATAAAGGTACTCACCACACAGTCATGTTGTACAAGATGGCTGTAGAAACCTGGAGTGCAGGGGACAGGTGGCACAGAGACATTCAGACACGAGTGACCAACTGGACAGATCTTACAGGACGGCTCTCCAGGCTGGTCTTGATATGTCCCTAGTGGACACAGCTGGACCTTGCTTAAAGGTGGACAGTAGTAACCAACTGGACATGTGAGGCAGTGGGTACCATTGGAATGTTCACCATACTGCAATAAATGAATGCATGCTCATACTCCCCAGTACATGTACATGTACACCAAGACCCCTTCCACAGCTTGTGATACACTTCCATTTTGAGGAATTCACAATTTAATGACCTGTAATTGTATACCTGAAATTGTCTAAATCAATGAGTAGGAGTATTATCACACTAACTTCCGTTTAAGTTGATATGCAACTGTCCCCTCCAACATTCCCCCACTGCGAGGGATTAAGGTAATTGCTCAACCATTTAATGAGATGCCAGTCTAATAAGTCTCACTCATTAAGGTGAAGACCATTTTTGATCTTAAAAGCAGAGTCAGTCCAGGGTAAGACCACTCCTTTAATGAACAAGACCATGTAAGATCATTTGTGAACCTAGTAAATGTCAGATAAAGACCATTTGAGGTGCACTAGTGCTGGCTACTACATGTAAATGAGAGAGTCGCACAATTAAACAGAGCCCCCCCCCACCCCCCCCCCCCCCACCCCCAC